ACATGCCGGGAAGAGTCAAGAATATAAATATTATAGGCAGAAGAAATAGTTAGGTTTAAGCACAGTTACCTTTAATATAAACCCTGAATATATGTTATATAATTAAATATATATATATTTGCTGTAATCTCAAGTGAGCTGTATACATGTCTAAGCTGCCTATGATACTCTATAAAAATCAGTGTTTTAAAAGATATTAATATTGTTGAGGGCCAAACAGCTGCTAGTTCTTCATCACTGGAAGGCATGATAGAAATAGAAGTAGAAATAGAAATAGAAATAAATAGAAATAGACCTTTGAAAGTCGCCAGGTAATTTTTTTAAGCTCTCCTGCTCAGCACTAAAAGAAGACAAAAATCATGGGAGTACCAAGGGAGTTCAGAGGTCAGCATGCTAGAAAAACAAAGATACTCACCTGTAAAAAATCAATACAGTTTAAATTGAATTCTCAGCTTCTTCAATTCTCAGAAAGAAATAATTTAATTGTAAAATTCTGATGCTGCATTTAGGGAGGGAAAAGCTTAGCCAATTGTTTATTCAGGGAACACAACCAAAAAGGTGTAAATTTTAATGCTGAAGCAAAAGAAGCAGCTTCTATTGATCTAACACAGCTTAGCACCTTTCTAAAACATCCAAGTCCTCTCTTGTGGTTTTGTCATTTTGTTTAAATTAGATGGCAGGGGGAAACTTCTAGAAAGATAAAGGCAAAAGCTTCAAGGAATGGAATGAAAAGATCTGTGGGCTAAGGGAAAAGAAAACATCCAATTTTAAAGAAGGACAAAAAAAGGCAAATAGTAAGATTCAAATTATAAATGTATTAATTCTATTCAGACATTGCAAAACATTTTAAGTGTAAAACTCCCAAAGTTTTGGAACTGCTGCTAAAATAGAATACAAATAAATTTATGTGGAGAAATTAATCAGAAGTACTATTTGTAACATTTTAAGAGAGTATTTGACTTTATGAAGTTGATACTAGCAAAATTTGCTTTTCATTCATTCAAATGAGAAATTAGAAGCAAAACATCAGCATTCATTATGCTTTTAAGACTGCTGAGAACTGAACTGAGGTACAGTTTACCCCTCTGATGTCTGTCACCAACATTTTTGCTGATCGTAGGATTAAATCTGATCAATGTGATGAGTTTGGCCTGCATAGGAAACTCATATTGTGAGATAACTGAACCACAACTCCCAGGAATATTAATATATGTAGATAAAAAGGAGAGAGAACCTGATTAATGAGAGACCAACCCAGAAGAGACAATTCTGCTTAAAATATATTTAATGTTTTAACATAACTAATATATTACTATTTATCTAGCTTCTTTAACTTTTTTTTAAATTTTATTTTATTTCTTTTTTTTTCTTCCTCCAGCGAACAACCAAAAAGCTTGGAGAAAACTCTTTTTTTCCTTCCTGAAAAAAAATATAGTGGTTTACATTGAAATTCAGACAAGTAGTGCAAGGCAAGAATCCAATTTATGCTGCAGTCTCTTCCACATCACTCTAGTAATGAAGAAGAGGCATAATATGAGCAAGAAATTACATTGAGTTCACCAGTTTTATTGATCTGGTTTTCAGCTGGATGTAAAGCAATTTTATTCTTTGTGGGCTTTAACTTCGGAGCACAAAGAGAGCTTCTGGACTGCCTAAAATTGATAAAGGGATCGTTTTACCTCTCTGCTGTTTACAGAGCAGTGAAAGGATCAGTAAAACCTTCTTCACCAAGCCAGAAGACTCTGACAATAATATCTGCTGGAAGAAAAAGGCTTTTTTGCTCTGTGTCTTTCCTCCACTAACCCAGAGCAAAGCAGGGATATTTCCCATCAGAGCAGGCAGCCGCCAGCGAGGGAACCGAGTGTTTATCCACTTCCCTGGGAGCTGAAGCGTGCTTCTCCTCTCTTGTTATCTTAACCTCTGACACCAAATGTTAGTCTTGCCTGCTCTGTAAATGACATTGGCGGGCACAAGGGAATAACAAAAAAAAAAAATAATAAAAAAAATTGTTTTGGGCTCTTCACAGCAAAACAAGAAAGGTCCATTTCTGGATCCCTTCAGCTGCTAAACTGTGATCTCTCAAGGTTTTCTGCCTGTGTTGTCTCAGTCATATCCATTCAGAATGAAGGAGTGCCAGTGCTTAATCCACATTTGCAAAGTGGACTTTTAAGCTTGAATCTTTTGGAATGGCCAATGGTGTGGGTCTCCTTCAGGAGAAGTTATTACAAAATATTCAGGATCAGATTTCCTGCATAATTTCCGCTGCACCAGGCCAGAACAGAGTCATTAAAGAGTGCTAACATTTTCATACTGGGTAAAAATCTGTTAATCAAAAAGTTTTGCAATAAATATATAAATATAAGGTAAGTATTGTAGTAGCATGTTTTTCTCATTAAATTTCTGGACTTTTAGCTTAAAATAGTGACTGAACACTGTTTAGTATCTGATCCACATGAATCTAACTGATAACTTCTGAGACTTTAAGTGGACCTTAAAAACTGCATCCTTTGGAATACAAAAGTTGCAAAACCAAAATAATATTTTAGTAGAAATTTCAGTAGTAGAAACTTTTCCTCATGGAAAATATTATTGAAGTATTTTTGTTTGCTTCTTTGTTTCACAGAAACAAAACTGTTGTGGGGAGTTTTTATAGGGTTTTTTTTTTTTTTTTGGTTGATTTTTGGTTTTGTTTTTTGGGGTGGTGTGTTGGTTTTTGGGGTGCATTTTTGGTTTGTTTGTTTGTTTGTTTTTTGTTAAAATGCAACAAAGCAAACATCTCACTTGAGATTTGGAAACATCCAGGACCAGCACCAAATGTTCATGATAATCTGGGAACACTGGTAAAAAACTATGTTTTCATATCAGACCTGGATTCTGGGTGCATTTTTGAGTAGAGAGGACAACTCTTGAATTATAGCTTTTAACAAATGGCCTGAGTAGGCGGCAGGGTAAATAATTGCAAAAGTGATTGTGCCTCAGGCCATTGTAGAAGAGGTAAAACCATGCCTTATCACCTTCCTCTGCATGTTGACATGATTTTTTAGCCCCAGATTGCAAGAAGCATTATCTTTGTTTCTCTAAATTCCTCTGACTGCAGCTATTCTTGTTGTTTTCAGTCCTATTTACTTTTCCAACCAGCTCTTCCATCCCTTCTTCGTCTTCTTGTCAGCCTCCCACTTCCTACATGCTGCTAGTCCACATTTTTTTCACACAAACCCCAGAACTGCTGTCATAAAAGGGTGGGTGATGTGTTAAACCTTTAAGGACCCTGGCCCTTGTGTTACACATGCAAAGCAGAGCACAAGGAGGTGGAATTTTCTGGAAAAATTGAGTCAGTGGTAGTGGCCTGCACAGCAGATGAAAGGATAAATCAACCCTATAGAAAGAATCACAGAGTCACAGAATCACTGAGGTTGGGAAAGACCTCCAAGGTCATCCAGTCCAACCTGTGGCCAAACACCACAACTAAACCAGAGCACTGAATGCCACATCGGGGTTTTTCTTGGACACCTCCAGGGATGGGAACTCCCTGGGAAGCCCATTCCAGTGTTTAGGAGCCCTTTCAGTGCATCCCACGAGACTGACCCAAGCACTGATGGCTATTCAAGCTCCACAACAGTGTCTGTGTGGGGTGTTTTAACAGCACAAGCCATTTCTGTGTGAGCATCTACTGCCTTTAGCAAGCAGTCCAAGCATAATCACACAGAAATTTTGCATGTTCTTCATTTTATTGAGCTGATTCAGGATCCCATCCCTGGGAAAAACACGGTGGAGCATGGAAATTGCCTTAAAGAACTTGAGACTGCAGCAGAACTGACATGTGGAATTTCTCTCAGTGCAAAGCAAGGCATGCTGCATGGTCAGTTTTTCCCAAGTGAAACAATTCCCACTTGCTGTAGGTATCACATCACAGGACAAAAGCCTCTGTGTGGGGGGAGGACTTAAAACTGAATTGCATGCTAGGAAATATGTAGGTTCTAGCTGGATGTTTTTAGGATTTTGTGGTATTTTCTCACTTTACTGGCTCAGTAAGACCCTCAGATCTGTCACCTTGTTAGATACAGTGCAGCATCCATTCTTTTTTTGAGGTATTTCAAAAAATAGAAGTCACGCATAAAAGAAAGGGAAATTTTCAAAAATTAAGGGAAGATACAGGGGAGGTATCAAGGTACAACGAAGAAAGTGAACAAATCCCTGAGGATGTGGAGTTTGGTGTGGACAGATTTAAAGGAGTGATTATTTGTTTAACATTCTGGGCCTAGCTCAGTATCATTATTCCATAAAGAAATCAGGGATTCCTGGAGTTTTCCTTTATTTGGGGTCAATGAGAGCCAAAATATCTGTCTTTATCAGCTGAGGTCTGACTGTAACACTGACTCTGCCTTGATGCAAGAATAATCTCTAATTTCAGAAGATGTAGCCATGCAAATTAGTTTTATTCACTCTCAGGATAAAAATTTCATCTCATTCAGTTCATAATATTTAGGTAGAGACCACCATAATTAAGGGAAAGCTAAGATGCTTCCTTAGACTATAAACAGTGCCACAAAAACAGTGCTTAATATCTTTAGATTCAGCTCCTTACAGACATTTCAAGCAATTCTACAGCATAATTATGTCTTGCTTTATATCAAAGGCAGAGCTTGCAGGACCAAGGGCTGTGTCTAAAAAACACTGCTGGCTACTGAGACAAGCCATACTGGGGAATTGCCTCCAGCAGGAACTTCTCAGCAAGGAGAATAGGCATCGAATTAACCACTAAAGGAAAGATAAAAATCAAACCCAGCATGTGGACTGGAGAGAACACACATGCCATAACTTCATAACAGTCCTAAAGCCCCAGAAATTTTCCTATTGTTGCTTGTATGACCAAGCTTGTATGACTCACAGATTAGGCTGTGCCAGTCAGGGGTGATTGTGTGACCATCCCCATTTCCTGCAATAAACACTTTCTGTGTCCTCTGCTCAACGCGTGATTTCTTCATTCTCCTCCCTTGCAGGGCAGAAACCTCAGTTGCTATTCTGGTCCTTGCTAAAGGAATGGCTCAGCTGCAGAACTGGAATGAAACATGGGACAGGCAGCAAAGGATGTGAGTAGGAACCTTTTACACAACCACAGGCGTGGGTTAAATGTCGATGATATTTGGGAAGAGAGAGATTTGCCACGAGCATGTAGCAGAACAGAATTTGGCATGAGCTTCCTCAGAGGGGAAAAGAGTTCCTTATAAACTAAGAATTTAGCCTAATCTTAGCTCCAGGCAGGGACAGTCTGAAGCACAACCAGCCCCAAGTGTCAGTAGTGCGATTCAATCAAAAGAACGCGCTGGATTTTTCCATCCAGCCTCTTTTTTTTCCCTCTACTCTCATGATGAGAGATGGGGTCAAAAGCCATAAAGTCTTTGGACTAAAAAGAAATTATAATTTCAAAAGCCTCCATGCCTTTGTTTTTATCCTTATCCTGCTTGATTCCCAACAGGATGAATTTGTTCTTCCAAAAAAAACTGTGGAAGAATGGAATGTGGGTGAAAAACATTTGTCTGTTTACTTGGTTTTAAAAATTATATGCATGGCAATGAAAGAACAAGGTAATCTCTTCCTTTGAATTGAGGTTAAGAAAAGGCTCTGAGTGCACAAAAGACTCCATTGCCTGCTCACACAGCTCCTAAGGAGTGATTTAGACTCTGTTGTGCATCCTTGATCCCTTGATCTATGTCTTGTGCTGGATGCAGAGCATCAGCACATCCCTTGCCTGCAGGAGGAAGGGAACATCCCGCTGGGGATGGGGCAGGAATGTTTCAGCTGCCAGGCTGCCTGGAAGCTGCTGAGGACACCATCATTTGAAACAGTCCCAAATCAACCCAGGGACTTCCTAATTAGCTCACAAACAACCCCAGTGAGCTAAAACTTAATACTATAGAAAGATGCATTAAAAGTTTTACTTACAGGCCCTCAAAGACTACTTAATTACATGTGTGTACTAGGCTTGTGAAATGCCTTATTTAAGAAGGAAAAAAAAAAAAAGTATATATATAAATATACAAAAAGATACTCCAGGATGGACAGAGAGCACACTTCAGCCCAAAATTGTTTCAAACCCCCTGCCTGTACATCTGCATTGGCTCAAATGGGACTTTCAGTTTTCGGCTGCCTGAAAGTTGATCCATATCACATTGGCTGCTCTGCCCCTCCTCCAGTAGATGTGATTTCACACTAAGGTTTTACAGAATTATAATGTAGAAGCTCAGCCAAATGGGCATCAGCATCCATCAGATAAAAACTTAGAATAAAAGTTATTTTAATTCAAATAAAATTGCCTTGTAAGGACACAACACACAAATATTAACTACAGGGGATGCAAGCCCGTGCTGAGATGTCACACTGGCTTCAAGAAGTTGATTTCTGCTGTTAAATATACTTCATCAGTGCTGCTTTGAACCAAACTTTTTCTATTCCAGCAGACAAAAAGAATTGCCCATTGTTATACCAACTTTTGTAGCTGCTTCCAAATGAATGAGCTTCTCTTTTCACAGTGTTTCACTATTCAACCTTTCTTTGCTTTGCTTTGCTCTATTTTATATTTCTTCTGGTAGTGACCGTTGAGAAGAGCACCTGTATTTGACACTAAGAGTAGGAATAAACACACAGGTCAGGACACATTTCCTGGATGTGTGGTGTGGAACTGAGCCTTTCATTTCAGTGATGGGCAGCCTGCTTGGATCTAACAGATGCCAGACCAGCAATGTTCCATTTGGAACTGCTTGACTTGTATTTATTTTTATCTTTATTTTGAAAAACATAAATTTGTTGTCCTTTCTTTCATCCTCTTACAACTTTCTCCAGCTATTACAGTTCCACTGCACCTACAAGGTGCAGAAGCACCAGTCCAGGAGGGAAAACCAGTACTGTGGTGGTGACCTCCCTATGGGAAAATTTCCCCATGATAAAGACATTGAGTGTCCCAAACCAAGTGAATATGTATGAACACATTAATAAATATGTTCCTGAACATATTTACTTTCTGTGATGGTGTAAGTCATATAGTCACAGCAGAGAAGGGGGTAGAGAGGGCACCTAGACCTGCCCTTGCCCTATCCAGGGTCCATTACAGCCTTGTGAGTCCTCACTCTGTTTTCTTTACTCTTTTGAGGTTTTTCAGCATATTTTAAATTACATGCCACATTCAATAATTTCTTCTGTCATTTTTCAGGTCTCCTCTGACTTGAACATGGTCAGAACTGAGTCCCAGCATGCCAGCTGCACTTTATGTATCTCCTTATATGTCCCAGTGTGGAATTTATCTTCGTCACAAAAGAATGGTGCTGTGGCTCCAAATCTCCTCTTCCTCCATCATTAAGAACTGCAGGCACCTTTTCCCAGTTCCAGCATAAGTAATGGAACCAAACCTCGTCATGTGGTTTTAATTCGATTTTTTTTTTCCTCAGCATTTTTCTTACTGATAGTCATACAAGTTCTCTTCAGTTAACTTGGAATTATAAAAAATGGGTAGGGGTTCAAAGTATGCTTATAATTATAAGAAATGTATTTTTTCCCCAAAAATGTTGTCTATCATCAACTAACCTTGTTTCTGAATTATTCCTGCAACAAAGACCATCTCTGGAAAAAAAAAAGGATAGCATCAGAAAAAGACAAATATTATGTAAATCCAAAATATGAGCTAAGTTGATAAGTGATGTAACACATTAGCACGCTGGAGAGATTTGTAATTGTCCATAACTGTACTGCCAAAACACAGCTACATATTGGAGAGTGCAAATCCCCTTTTGTATATCACTTAATATACAGCTTTGATATAGGAGTACAAATCAATACATTTCCTTTGTAATGAAAAAATATTTGTAAAACAATTAAAATTTTGGTCTGTGTACTGCAGTGCTGTGTGTGTGTAAAATCTTTCATGCAAGAAAGTTATTGCAGTTGTACTTACCAGGTGCATTTTAATGCATCTTGATGTTATTTTAATTAATACTATTATTATAATCTCATTTAATTTCACTTTGCTAATTCTCTTTCAAGGAAATAAGTTTGAAGGTGAACTGCATAAAAGCTGACTCTGTAAAATGCCTTTCTTTTAGGAAAAGCTCTGAAGAATAATGGTTTTCAGGGTGTGCCCAGAATTCCTGCTTATTTATGTGCATTATTCCCATCCTCCCTCCTGGCATGCCTACAGCCCTGGGTACGCATTTTACACTGTGGCATCTTTGACCTACTATGTTAATTGTTGTGAGTTGTCCTAACTATTTTTAAGAAAGAGGGAAAGCTGCAGGAGACATCTTTCTAAGAAATGTGTAACAAAACTAAGCTTGAAGTTCTTTGTGAATCATGCTTGGAAATTCTTTCTAATGCTTCTCATTTGCCGAGCCTGGGTGCAAGTGAGGATGCCACTGAGGTTTCAGAAATTCCTTCAGCTCTGACATGGCACCATTGGTATTCTTAAAGCAACATTTAAACAATCTTTAAATAAATAATTGCTATTCTTTCCCACCACCATTTCCACCAAATAAAAAGATAGCTGGATTCCTTTTTTACTTCCAACAAAACATCTGCAGCACATTTCAAGTATTAAAAAAAAAAAAAAATTATAGAGACGTTGCTGGGCCCTTTATAAAATTCTGAAAATTAGAACAAAAGTGATTTTGGCATTTGAAAGGTGAACAGCCTCCTCTACTGAAGATATCAGTTGGTCAAAATGCTCGAAGCTAATCTTCTGCTCCAACTTCTTCTTCCTTGCCTTTACTTCAAGCCCACCATCTTAAAAAAGAGAGGACCACATGGCTGGAACACATTTCCACCCCAGGTAAGTGCATTTGTCAATGGATATTAAAACTGGGAACTGCTCAGATTTGCTGAGGCACATGTGATGTCCCTACAGCCCCTTTTTGGGATCTGTTTGGGAATTCAACCACAAAGTGGTGCTGTTGCAAAAGCTAACCATTATAGAACATGCTCCCTGCTTTTAGAATGGCCCAAGGCATGCATTAAACCCAATAAAATGTTCATGCATTTGCATACTCACACGAATATCTTCCCCATAAATATTCAATTTTTTATCATCAAACGAAATCACAGTGGTATTTGTTAAAATGTAGAGAAAAATACATGTCTTCAAAGTATATAAAATATCACATGTTTTGAAGTCTGGTCAAGTGCCTAATTAATCAGATCAATGTCTTGTAATTATCCCAATTAAAATCCCAGAATTCAAAGATGACTTTCTCCAACATGCTTTGAGCAATGTTTCAAATTCCTCAAGACAAAACAGGGACTTGTTCAAAGTAATATTTTAGTGACTTTTAGGTTTTTTTTAAAACTTTTTTTTTTTTTTTTTGCCATGTCTGAACCTCAGATCCAAGGGCAACAGATAAAATAAGGTGACCATTTGGGAGCTGGATTGCTTCTTATTAAAAATTCAGAAACCTGCTTGAAATGTGAAAGAAACCCACCTTATACTAAGGGTTAGGATGAGGGGAAAAAACCACCCCACCCCCAGAATAACAGCTGAATATGTAGAAATACCTAGAAAGAAGCAGCTTCAGAACAACAGTAACATCTGTAGGGGAAAGGTTGGAAAACGGCAAGAACCAAACACGTCTCCATTTTCCCTGGCTGTGAAAACAGGCTGTCTACAATGCTTTTTGCAGTGCACACATATTTGGCGAGATTAAGGTGTCACATCTCAAATTACAAGGCGTCTGATTGCCCACAGAGCCAGACACAGGGCAAAACCCCTCCACTCCTGCAAGCTCTGGGAGGTTTGCCTCCATCAGAGGTGGGCAGCCCTTCTGCACAGGTCTTTTGCTTCTAGACTTCTTCTTTTGCTACCTTTTTTTTTTTTTTTCTTTATTTTCTTTTTTTTTAACTTTTTTTTCCCTACTGCAAATGTGAAGTTCCCGGGCTAGGGCTGCCATCAGAGGCTTAACCCTTTGCCTACCTTCGGAGGAACATTCGTTCACCAGCCACAGGAAAGTTTTCTATTCCTAGCACTGTTTGTCTACTTCAGGAGATTAAAAGCTGAGTCACATTTTAGGCATTTCTCAGATCTGACTCCAGTGCCTGGGCTGGGTGGGGGACACACGGGATTTAATTCGAGTTCCCTCATTTTAGCTGAAAAAGCTCTAAATCGGATGGAAACAGCATTCAGGGTGAGACAAAAAACATTGGAACTAGAGTTATACAAGTTTGAGGAGCTTTGGTTTTTTTGTTTGGTGGGTTTTTTTATTTGTTTTGTTTTGTTTTGTTTTGTTTTGTTTTGTTTTGTTTTGTTTTGTTTTGTTTTTTATTGGCACAGCAGCAAGTATTAGTACAGAATTCATAGGAAGCAGTGATGGAAGGTGACTTTTAATCTCCATCTGGGTAAGAAAGGCAGTACTTGTGAGACAGACACAAATTGTGGAATCCCCTCAACAAGACCATTTAAATTGCAGAATCCCCTAAATGGGACCATTTTATGCTTGAAAAAATCCAGAGAAAGGACTATTGCAACTAACAACGCCATCTGTGTTTTAATCTATGGTGGTAAATATTTCAATAAAATTGTGACAACTTTCCAGGTAGATTAAAGTGCCTTAAAGGAGATGGTACAAAGCTTTGACAGAAGGAGAGGGCTAATTATCATTACACAGGGAAAGGAAAGAGAAGAAAAAAATCCATGGTTAAACAGGAACAGAAAAAACTTATTGAGCTAGTAAAAGTATTCTTTAAGGAAACAATCTGGTGACCCTTATGATTTAAAGTGTCACCTCATATCTTATATGACCACGTTCTTATGGTTATGACTTGCTCAATTAAGCTCAAATCAAATAGAAAAGAAAGATGACTTAAGCATGTAAATTTAGAGGGAGACTTTGAGGCATGCAGCTAAATTTATCAGCCATCTCTGTGAGTGATCTCTCTAAATAAAAAGTTTGGGAACCAGTCGCTGCTGGTTGCTGATGAACTTTCCATGTTTTTGGCACATGCCATCCTTAATGGATGAATCTGCAAGTCAAAACAGGAGGAACTGTACACAAATCCATCCTAAGGTCTGTTCTTAATGGTGGGTGTTTCTCTCAGCACTTATTTTTGTGTCATGGCGGGTGACTTCCTTGACAGAAATACTGACCGAAGAAATAAATTTGTCAAACATTTGCAAATAACTGGAAAGAAAAAAAAAAAAAAGGGAAGTCACAGTAAGAGGGGGGAGATTGTAGCACTGTTGCTCTGTGCCTCTATTTCACCTGCTTGACATGTCCTACAGTGAGTTGTGAAGACGGGTAGGAATAGCAGCACATGCTGGCAGTGTGAGTAAAGTGTGTGCATGTGTGTGCATGTGGGAGACAGAGGGAGCGTGGAGGACAGAGGGGCGGGAAGGGGGGAGTGGATGGACCATTAGAGTGCAAACACAGAGACATTCCTGCAATAAAATACTCGTCTGCTGAGAATCGCAGTCTGGAAGGGATGGTGATGATTTAACAAAAGAATTCTCTAAAATGTTCCCTGGTGCTAATACTGTTCTTAATAATATGAAGAGGTTTTGCCAGGAAGAGGAATAAAACCATCAACTGGATTTGAAAAACAAAAAAAAAGAAAGTAAAGAAAATAGGCACAGGATAATTTTTTTTAGAGCACACAGGGGGAAAAATTACCTTTATGATGGTTTTGTCATTTTCAAAAAAACGCCTCATTCTCTGAATTTCCCCAGCCAGGCAAGGTTGTTATAAATGGTAGGTAGGGAAATCAGAGTGTGGCAATAAAGGGGTTAATCCACAGAGCACAGAGCCATCTGGCTGAGCTGGTTTGTTATAATCGAGCAGATTATGTTCACGGGACTCAGAGTTTAAGGCTCCTCTCCCATAGAGCAACTCTGCACAACCCAAGCAGACCAACTTTGGGACTTTGAATGAACGTATTTACATCCACCTTTCTCTTCATGTCGACTTTTCTGGAAACATTCACACGGATGCCATGGTTACTCCTACCACGGTAAGGGAAATTTGACGTTTTCTAATGGGGTCCTAAGAGGGCGGGGAGGGGAGGGGGGGAGAGGGGTCCTTTAAAGAAGTTTCATGGGGAGGAGGTGGGGGTCTTGTGAGCTGTAGATGTGTCCCAAATGTTGCCTTTCCCATTGTGCCTCCTCCTTCACTCACCCCTACTTGCCCTATAGTTTGCTTCAGTCCTGAGGTTCCCCTCTCCTCCCGCTCCTCACACTGTTGTTCGGGTCCCTGGAAAGAAAGCAGTGGAGGAGAAATGCGAGGTGCAACAGGAAATCTGATTTAAGAGTCAAAAGCAAAGGAGACTTTTGGTTTTGTCTTAAGAGGGAAACCAGCAAGTTCAGCTATAACAAAAGGGGTTGGAAATCTTGACCGTGGATTGCAAGAAGCAGCCTCAGCGCACATAGCATGCTCACCCTCCGGCAAAGTTAGAGCCCATGACAAGCAAAGCCAAAATTCCCAAAATTTCTAGACCTCGCCTGCCACAGGTAACCAGCTTCACTGGAGCTTTCATACTTTGTGTGTGTGCCAGACACTGGAAACCCTGCTCATGACCTTTGAATCAATCCTCATTCTCCTCAAACCCAAACACTAAATTCTCTGGGAAGAGCTGGAGATCAAAAGATTCCCTGCACATTTGTGTCTAGGTGAAAAAGATACACTCGCTCTGTGCTGGAATGGCACGGAAACTGTTCTTACATTGCAGCTCCCAGCGTTGGGTGAGCACCTTCTAGGAATGCAGCACACAACTAATCAACAGAGATGCACATCTAGAGAGCAAAATAGAAAGCTGTTTCTCATCTAAACAGCTGAAATGCAGCTTAAAGCGTCAGTTACTGGCGAGTCCCTGTGGAGACACCAAACTGCTCATAGCCAAGAGGGAAAAAAGTCCTTGAATGGTTCAGATAGTTTTCTGATCAGTCCTTAATCCTTCATTAAAATAAACGGGAAAGCTATATAAAAGCTATAACTATAAATATGCAGTATCTGGAGAGATGGATATTTTGGATTGAATAGGGCTGCTATGTGCACATTCTCTGGTTCCTATATTGCAAAACCAGTTATTTAGAGACGACTCTGTGTGTGTGTATGTGTGCTCATGTGTGTGTGTGTGTGTGTGTGTGTGTGTGTGTGTGTGTGTGTGAGGGGGGTTGCTTCTCCCCCTCCCTTTTTTTTAAATAGACAGGGATGTGTGTTATATGGTCCAGAGGATTGTTGTGAGCTACAGTCTTTCAGAAAACACTCTTTGCTCTCAGGCTCGTGTGATTTGTTGCATGAGGAGTGCAAATGGTATGTAAAGTTTTGCCTTTGCATTGTGCCTTGAGGAAAATATCCAGACAAGTAGGAGAGGCACTTTCAGGTGCAGAAATACCTGATATGTGCAAGCTTGCAAGTGGGGAAGTGGCAGAAGAAGCACCTATAAATGGGATTCAAGGAAAAGGAAAAACTAATAGTAATAAAAAAAATTAAAAAAAAAAAAAAATTAAAAAAGCCTCACCAGACAAAAGCAGCAGAGAATGGAAGAGTTCAGCATGGTCCCAGCTGCTGGTAGTAAAAAGACTGGTCTAAAATACACGTGTAAATACCAGGGGCTCTGTGTGTGAGCACGGTGGGGGGACAAAATCCAGGCATGATTGCAGGTGGTGGAGCCAAAACATGGGGAGAAGTGGAGGTACCAGCAGAGCCAGCAGGGGGGTGCTTTGTGTAGAAGGGTGCTACATGTTGAGGTATGCAGAACACATAGGTTTAAGGGGTTTTGTTCCCATTGTTCTGCTGTGGGTTGGGGTGTTTTTCTCTTCAGGGAACAAAAAATGAAATGGTGCATCTAAAGATATATAAAAACTGTAGGGAAGGTGTGATACCAGAAATAAAGTTCACTGTTGTGCACTGGAGTAATAATGGCAGGTGAGACGTGAAAAGGTGGTCAGCTTGAAGGGGAAACTGATGCATATCAACTGGAAAAAGAAGATCCTTGTGGGTGGCAGAAAGTTTAGGAGCTCACAAGAGGAAGTAACACTGTAGAGAGATGGGAAAAGGTACAGGCTGGAGGCTGGGTGAGGATATGAACGGGACATACAAGGATGGTAGGGTCTGCAAGGGGGAGGTTGGGTATGGAGTGGGAGCGGAGGGAGAAAGGTGAAAGCACAAAGGATGTTTGGAGGAGGAGTTAAAATGTGAAGTATTAGCTATTTGGAGAAAGGTATGGAAAATAATCAGCTACATGATGCTTGTGGGGGGCGTCAAAAGGAGGTACCTTTGATTCTGTCAAGAAATAGATACGAGGATGTATTTACAACGAAGGTATCAGAGTATGAAAGGCAAGGCTTGCATGGTGATGGAAACATGTGCCGAGAACAGGAACACAGAGGGGAAAATGAGCTGGATGGAGATAGGGTGTGGTGAGGGGAAAAGGATCCTGAAAGTATGTGAAGGGGTAACTAATTAGAGATATTTCAGAGCAGGCTGGAAGCCTGCTGGAGTGTGCTGCCTGCCTGCAAGGGAGAGACAGACTGGGGGAAAAGCCATGGGGAAGTGGTGTGAGGAAATTCAAGAGAGTGGAAGTCACAGGGGCAGGATGAACTGTGGCAAGGATATAAAGCCATGGCAGGTGTTGATGAGCACGAGAATGAGGAAAAATTAAGGAATGTAGGAGGCATGAATGAGGATGAAATAAAGAGCTATGTTTTCTTTAATGCCTAGGAAATAGGTGGTTTACAGGAGATACAGGGTGAGAGCGGAGAGTGAAGGGAAATTTGGGGGTTTGTTTCTTAGTAGGCAAAGAGAGGGAGCGGTGCAAAGGTGCAGTGGTTTGCTCGGCAGGACTGGGGATGCCTCTTTGCTGGGGAGTAGGAGCAACACAGAGAAAGAACAGGCAGTAAGTTAGAGGGGAAGCAGCTGGGGCAAGGAACAGCAAGCAAGGAATAATGGGAAGACTCTGGGAGGAGGAGAACATACACAAACAAAAAGGAGCAATTTTCTGTTGCAACAGATGTAACAAATGTGTTTGCATATCTGTGGTAGGTACTGGCTGAGCGAAACAGCAAGAATGGAACAAATGTGCTGGTGGAGAAATAGCTGAAGATATAAAGGGGTGGGAGGAGAAGGAATGGGAGGAAAAACTACCTGGAGGGCCGTATAAGCCACATGGCTGTGCTGAGGTCAAAAGTAAAGTGTGAAGTGTGTGAGGAGGCAAATGGAGTTGGGAGCTGTAGGCCATGAGGTGGAAGTGGATGGGAATGACAGTTCCTGTTACAAGGGGCGAGGAGCTCAGCACGGGCCCACAAACAGCGGTGTGGGAGCAAGGAAGGGACCTGCCAGGCTGTGCCTGCTGTGCAAGGGAAGGTGAAGGGAGGGAAAAGTTGTGTCTGATAAGAGAGATTTATGCACACAGCATGCTCGAAGGAAATGAGGGAAGTGCAGGTGAGGACTGCAGACCAGGGTGTGGGGTCTGGGAGAAGGAAAACTACTTATGGGGGAAGGAAGAGTGATGAGGAGTGGGAAAAAGTTTTTGAAGGCTTAAAACATCTCTTTGTAATCTGCCTCTTGCTGTGAGGGAGGCTAAGCGTGCAAGGAGCTCTAGGTGCATGCAGTGCACCAGGAGAGCAGATTGGGTGTTCGGTGCAAGGGCTCAGGTAAATCCATACAGACCTTGCTGACAGGCACATGGATATATAGAATGTGCGAGGCCCAGGGGTGAATATGTTCAATGGGTGCTGTGCTTATGGGACTGGCAGAGTTGCAGGCGATGAGGACAATCCAGGAAGAAGCTGAAACCCTTGAAGGGTGTGTAAGGGTGGTTGTAAGGGATAGAGGCCTGTGTGGAAGTCCCAAAGAGCCACCCAGGAGGCCATACTGACGTGCAGGGTGGCTACCAGAGGCTGAGTGGAGCATCACGTGTCCACTGCACTCACGGCATAGCTCTCCATGTCGAAATCACTTACGTAAGGCCAGCACCAGGGCTGAGTTTCGTGAGTGCTAGGAAAGCAATGTTTGCATTGAGAAGGAGGGTAGGAAAGGATGACTAACTGGGAAAATGGCTTGGTGCGTGGGTAGCGATAGGACCTGACGTGCTCTGGATGTACCTGCCTTCTGCATGACTTACACAGCAGGCAGGCTCTTCTATAGAGGTTTTTTTGCAGGCTTTTCATGAAGAAGGGCTGAATAACCCTTAGAAAATCCCAGTAGATTTAACTACAATATTTAGACCAGCTTCATTCAGAAGTGTACCAACGCACCTTATTTTCATACGTTAAAACCTCTGAATACTGCTGCTGGGACAAAGGGCAGAGAGGTTTCTCTGGGACAAGTTAACAGGGCTCTTGGATGAACAAATATCAGGCTGAAGGACAAAGAAGGACTACCAATGTCAGTCAAGGGAAAGAGGAAAGCAATGGCTTTCTCCATGGCTTGAAGCAGTGCTGGAGTAATGTGCAGTTGGCTGAGGGTTGAAACATAGGATACATCTTGGGTGTCAGAGAGAAGTACTAGGAACTTATTTCCTCTCAAAACAATTACACTTATTGACAACAGCTGTTCTTCAAATCTGATCTAAAAACACCTTCAAATTGTGTGGGTCACCTAGGACTTTGGGTTCTTCTGCAAAGAGTAGGAAAGTGCTTGTTTCTGCCCATAGCTGGTGTAGCTGCTGAGAAATCCTCTGAAACTTGCACTGCAAGTTGGTCTCATCACACAGAACCTCTAAACCTAAAGGCTGAAGCCTCTGAGCCCAGACCTCAAATAACATCAGTCCTACGGACCATGGTTCATAGATCCCTTTTCTGTTCATTGCAAGGACAAATTCCTGCTAAAATAAAGGCAAGCCTGCAAAATGATAAGCAATTAGTGCTCATGCAGCCATAGGTTGTGTTGGGAACCCACTGTCCCATATTTTACACTGGTTTCCCACTGCAGAGTCCAGGTCAAGTTCTCCAGCAGGATGATTTTTCCTGACAATTCTTTCAGCTGGTTGCAGTCTGTGGAAAGGACCTTTCT